AAAGTATTTGGATTAATTATTTAGGGTGCTTGTTTTTGAACTGTGGGAGGAAACCGGAGGACCCGGGGAAAACCCACTCGACCACGGGGAGAACGAGCAAACTCCGCACAGAAATGCCGTCTGGTTTGGAAAGGAATTAAACCAGGGGCATTCTTGCTGTGAGGCAACAGCGCTAATCACTGGCCACCGTGATGCCCGTTTGAAAGGAGGGAAAGTAGGGTTGGGTAGGGGGGGTTTCTTCAAGACGAAGATATTGAGATGAGAAAAGTCTGGTTATTTATAGTGAGTTAAGGATCGTCTAATAGGATAATTAGTCATTAGCTAAAGTTGGAACAGCTGTGAACAATCATAAGCACGGGATCCTCTCTAAATTTGTTTATAAATAAACTTCACTTGAAGTCGCATAGATAAAATTTTGGGCGCATATGCAACCAAAATGGTTGCAATTTCGAGCCCTGGATTTAATGTTATTTAAAACTGGTTTAAGTGTTAGTTAAAGTGTCAGAGAGATGAAAAGGTGTGTTTTCTACAGCTGGTTTGTCAAGCCCACTCACCTGTGTGAAGCACACTCAGAATTGCATAACGTTTTTAAGCTCAAACACATCGTAAAAATATGTTAAAGAACAGTTTCCATATTTTGCGATTGCCAAGTGTTTTGCCTTTATTTACGGTTGTGAACTGCATTATGGGATGTTGATCTCTGCTCTGTCGACTTTTGATGTTGAAAATTCACACTCCACAGTTTAACAAAGTTACTTTTCTTGACATTTTAGTAGTCTGAAACAATATAATGTATAGATAAATAAGTGCTGGCAGTTTATTACAAGGTTTTTGTAGCGTAATTTACAACAACAACCGATAATATAGCACTACTAACTATTACAAATATTAATAAAAGTCACTTTTATTAAAGTTAAAAGTTGTTGGAAGAAAAATCAAGATCACATAATGCAAATTAAACGCTTAAATTAATGGGGAAAAGTCAAAAATAAAAACATGAATCACAAAATATGCAAAACTCACCATATTTTTACAGTGCACTACTAGCCAACTTTGAGTTTTACTAAATTTAACGGTAACACTTTAGAATAACTATCCGTTATAACTAGTTAATAGACCATTAATAAACTGTCAATTAACAAGTTATAAATGATTTGTTAAACAAAAGTTAATAGTTTGTTAATTATTTATTACTGTGCCTTATAGATGGGCAATGGATAACTTACAAGCTGTTAGTTAACAAGTTGTAAATGACTTCTTAACTGTATTTTAATGATTTATAACTATACCTAATAAATTATTAAGAGATCATGAACAAGCTGTTAGTAAATACTTAATGAAGACTTGTTAAGTATCAGTTAATGGTGTATATATGTTATTGGGACGTTATTCTAAAGTTGCAGCTATTTTTAATTTATTAACTGTTAGTAAATGAGGAATAGTTGCAACTTTAGAATAACGTCCCAATAACATGCTTAAGCTAATAACTAACACTTAACTATTATATTTACTCACACTTTACAGACGAGAGTTGTTCATCATTTGCTAACCATCTACTAATACCAGTGAATCTATGTAGAACAGCAAATGGATGGAACAAGTTCAAGCTACAGAAATTTGATGTAATATTTAAAATATAAAATGTTTGTATCTTAACCTTGTTCCACTTATAGGCTTTTCTGTGTGCTGTGTTTTACCAAAGAAGCTCCACAGATGAAATGTTGAACGTTGTGTTTAATGTATAGAAACACACATACTGAACCATCACATGGCAGAACAGCACTATACAAGAATACAAACCCATGAAGTGCTAAACATGAAAACAAAATAAATAAAAATATATTTTATTAAAATTCTACAAAGTTTCACTGGTGTTATTAGATGGTGAACAACTGATCTGTAAAGTGTGAGTAAATATAATAGTTAAGTGTTAGTTATTAGCTTAAGCATGTTATTGGGACGTTATTCTAAAGTTGCAACTATTCCTCATTTACTAACAGTTAATAAATGAAAAATAGCTGCAACTTTAGAATAACGTCCCAATAACATATATACACTATTAACTGATGCTTAACAAGCCTTTATTAAGTTATTTAATAACAGCTTGTTCATGATCTATTACTAATTTATTAGGTATAGTTATAAATCATTAAAATACAGTTAAGAAGTCATTTACAACTTGTTAACTAACAGCTTGTAAGTGATCTATTAGCCATCTATAAGGCACAGTTATAAATAATTAAACTATTCACTTTTGTTTAACAAATCATTTATAACTTGTTAACTGACAGTTTATTAATGGTCTATTAACTAGTTATAACGGATAGTTATTCTAAAGTGGTACCAATTTAACTTTATTAAAAACCAAATCTTTCCACTGAAAAGGAAACGCAAGAGACCAGAGGATGAATACTGCATATATACAGTGTGTTGAGAAAAGGTTTTGGTGGAGCTGTCTCTTTTACTACATTTATAATTAAAGCAACATCCGAGTGACTTGTGTTTAATCATCTCCCACTGAAAGCAACCACAAGCCTTTCCACGAAAAATATTATCGTCAAGTTTATATGCAAAGCCACTAAATGGACTTACTCATGCACTACTTGAATCATGGAGGAGGAATGTATGGAAATATTTTCATTATAAGGGGTGAAATTTCCAAAAATGGCTGCCAACACTGAGAATATGCACAGCTTGCATTTCAGTTTGTTCCATCAGCTCATGAAAACATCTGTGAAATGCATGATACTGCTGCTTTCCGACTCATTATGATCTTTCAGCCATCTCTAGCCTTTCATTTTCCTCCTTCTAGGCCTGTGACTGAAATGATCGGTGCGGTTATCTGCAAATGTTGAATAATGAAATAATTCTACTGTGATATATATTGTGGTTTAAAGCTAAAGAGTGCAAAAGCATCTATAACAGCTGATTTAAGGAGCCCTAAAGAGGGTCTGTGTGTTCAGAATTCGGTGTGAAGACATCACACGCTCTGTGAAATTCATCATTTTGTGGTTTGATGCCATTTCAGGTTTGGTTTCTGTGCTGTGTAAAGACGCCTCAAGTCACTTTTTGCTCACCAAAGCTGCGTTTATCTGATAAACAACACAGGAAAAACAGAAATAATCTGGAATTATTTGATTTAGTTGTGCTGCCTGATGCTTTTGCAGAATCCATGAAAATAAAATGTGTCAGAATTTTAATACAAGATTTCCACTTTAAGCCAAATAAAAAATTCCCAGACTTTGTGCCTAAAACGCTGAATTTCCATTACCTATAATAAAGACATTAAGACCATAAATTCACCCTCTGCTGATTTAGACCCAAGTTATGAAACATAACTGGATAAACTAGTGTTCTTACACCTTTTCCAAAGTCAAATTTAAGCACTATTCAAGCATTTTCAAACTATTCAAGCACTTAACCAGTTTGGTAAGTTACATACTATAGCATATATATATACATATGCTATATATATATATGTGTGTGTGTGTATATATATATGGATTTTGTCCTTTTGTTGTTTGATAAATAATAAAAACAGCAGCAGGAATATCGCACGCTGTCACTTTAAGAATAGTGCGGCTCCGAAATGCTTTCTCTTTCACGTGTCTTTTGATTCTTAACTTGTTTGTTTATTACACAAATGAGGATTAATATGAATAATAATCAACACCGTGCATGTATTTGACCATTAAAGCGCTCGCATTAAGATGGCGTTAGATGTGCGTGTGCTCTGCTTTCTGAGGCTGAGCACGGACCACGCGCACACAGACACGCACAAACACACACACATAATACCTGTCCGAGGCTAAGCGCAGCGCGCACACACACAAAAGCACGTGCTCTTTCGCGCTTTTAGGGTGCTTTCACACCTACACTTTTGTTTCCGAACGTGTCTCGTTTGCCTACTTAGCGCGGTTCGTTTGGCATATGTGAACAGGGCAATCGCGCTCTGTTCCGCGCCAAAGTAATCGCTCCGAGATCGCTTGAATGAGGTGGTCTCGGCTCGATTGAAACGAACCCTGGAGCGGTTTGATTGCAGTGAGAAAGCGATCCGATCCGAGCGCGGTTATATCACAGTGTTTTATGGATATGTAATAGGCTTACGGCTATATGAAGAGAGAATTATGAGTAGGGCGGGAAGTTTCGCGAGTCTCCGGATGCCCGCAAACATGTGATGATCTCCCAGTAATCTCGCGTCTCCCTCCCGATCCTCAAATAGGCATCGTCGCGCACCCTTCTCACCCCTCCCCACCGCGTCTCTCCTCAGACACATCGCGCACACCCTGTCAATCACCACCAAACCACCACCTCTCCTGACAGCTGAGCGGGACGCTGCAAAATAAACCCTGACACTCTGACCAATGTGAGGAGAGTTTACTCGCACGTGACTTGTTTTAGCTCTTTTGGTCCGATTATAAACTTTGCAGTGTGAAAGTGAACCGCTCCAAAAGCAAAGAGCAACAATGTAACATTTGTAATCTCTGTTTCAGAACAACTGAATCGACTCACAGGTGTGAAAGCAGCCTTAAAAATATGAATGATGCGCATCCCGTGCTACAAAAGTTACATCACAGCACATCTTTCAGTCACTTTCACGTGGAACTGGAAAGGGGGCGGTATATGATGAAATAATCGTTTATCTCGATTAATGGTTTTTCATAATCGTTAGAAGCCGTAATCGAAATCGAAACTGGATTTTCGATTAATTGCACAGCCCTAGTATATATATTAAGAAAACATCCCTTAACCGGGTTACGGATTACTTACTTACTGTAGCATTTAAAAAAAAATTACAGTTGAAATCACAGCCAATTTTTACAGTGTTGACCTTAAAATGGTTTTAAAAATATTAAAAACTGCTTTTATTCTAGCCAAAAAAATTAAATCCTTGCTCTGGGAAATATTTAAAAAGAAAACAAAATAACAGGAGGGTAAATAATATTGACTTCAGGTGTTTAGCACTTATTTTAAGAATGCATTAATGGTAGAAATCTCACCTGTTCTCTGCGGAGCGGCAGCTGTGATGATTCGAGGACTCATGTTTACGGCGGTGGAGGACGATGAGAGTGAAGAATGTGACGGTGGGTTTCGTCCGTCTTTGATCTCGATGCTGAGGAAGGTTTTCATGCTGGAGTGGTGGGCTCCTGCAGATGATTCTCCCTCAGGAGTCTGCACTTCTTCTGAAAAGCCACATGCACTCCTGACATTTTGACTGCGAGTCTCTGAGCCGCCCACTGCTGCGCGTGATTGGCTGGAGAGCAGTTTAGGCTGGGCTGACATCATGCTCTCGCTGACATTTCTCCCTTTCTTTGGGATGGAGGAGGAACAGGACAGGGTGTCCCGGGACTCGTCTGCTGACACTGTGTTTGTAGAATGAGAGAAACTATGAGCGCTTCTAGGTGCGCTTGAGACTGGTTCGGTGAACTTCAGCATCCGGTCACGGACAGAGTTGGTGCGAATGAAGGGCCCGGAGTATGATGTCTTGTTTCTAAAATCTGAAAAGAAATTATTCAATCATTTAAAACTGAAGAAAAAAATACAAAAAAATAAGAAAAAATTGCAATAAAAGTGTTTGATTTTCAGAATTAATCATCATTGGCATACATAGAATTTTTTTTCTTACAATGGAAGTCAATGACGACCATCAACTGTTCTATGGGGATGGGATGTGATGCTGGAGAAAAAAATGGGTGGGAAAAAAACGGAGTGTTATGTGCGTTATCTCACAAATAAGTTTTGCGTTTTGTCGCAAAGATGTTTTGCGTTAGCTCGCAAAGTTTTGTGTTATCTCGAAAAGATCTTTTGCTTAATCTCGCAAAGATGTTTTGCGTTCCGTCGCTAAGATGTTTTGTGTAATCTCGCAAAGGTATTTTGTGTTATCTCGAAAAGATCTTTTGCTCAATCTCGCAAAGAAGTTTTGCGTTATCTCACAAAGATGTTTTGCGTTATCTTGCAAAGAAGTTTTGCGTGATCTCGCGAAGATGTTTTGCGTTATCTCACAAAGATGTTTTGCGTTATCTCACAAAGATGTTTTGCGTTATCTCACAAAGATGTTTTGCGTTATCTCACAAAGATGTTTTGCGTTATCTCACAAAGATGTTTTGTGTTATCTCACAAAGATGTTTTGCGTTATCTCACAAAGATGTTTTGCGTTCCGTCGCTAAGATGTTTTGTGTAATCTCGCAAAGGTATTTTGCGTTATCTTGCAAAGATGTTTTGCTTTATCTTGCAAAGAAGTTTTGAGTTATCTCACAAAGATGTTTTGTGTTATCTCGCAAAGATGTTGTGCGTTTTCAAGCATAGAAGTTGTGCCTTATCCCGCAAAGATGGTTTGCGTTATCCAGCAAAAAAGTTTTGCGTTATCTCGCAAAGAAGTTTTGCGTCATCTCGCAAAGATGTTTTGCATTCCGTCGCAAAGATGTTTTGCATTATCTCACAAAGAAGATTTGCGTTTTCTCGCAAGGAAGTTTTGCTTTATCTCGCAAAGAAGTTTTACGTTATCTATCAAAGATGTTTTGCGTTCCCTCGCAAAGATGTTTTGCGTTATCTCGCAAAGATGTTTTGCGTTATCTCGCAAAGATGTTTTGCGTTATCTCGCAAAGATGTTTTGCGTTATCTCGCAAAGATGCCTTTATTCTGGATTGATGTGGACATAAATGGAGAAAGTTTCATGGGTCTGCTGTGCCAGTAACGTGACTAAATGTGCAATCCCCAATCAGCTTTCAAATGAACGAACATCGCAATGCAGTGGATTATAACAAATAAAATAAAATCAATATATGTTAAATTTGATCTTTTTGACTACATTTTATTATATTAATATTATATTTCTTATATTATTTTATTAGTAATTTGCTGTTCATTCATTAGATGAGAGGTTCAGAGCGTGATAACATTGTTCCATTAATATAGAGAGCACAGCGAAGACTTCAACAAGCAACTGGCTTGAAGCAATCAAATGCTTGAAGCATTTGGCTTTTTTTCTTTTTCTTAATCTTTTCTTACTCTTTTTACATGCAAGTTTATGTGGGTGTTATATATAAGTAATCATGTATGTGCATATTGATATGTATATGTAGGTAATTATAAATGTTAGCATGTTTGTTTGTTTTTTTGTTAAATTATTGTTCTGTATTAGCTCAGATTATTTGCTGTTCAATATTTTTTATTTTAAAATCTCTAATATTTGATTTCAGATTTTGGTGTCCAAAAACTCTTTGAAATCTCATTTGAAACTCATGGAGAGTGATATACGATTCAGTTTTTTGTTAGTTTTTTTCTAAAAGTTAAACGTTTTTCATACACTCTGTTCTAAACATAAATATTTAGTTTATTAAAAAAAACACACAACTGAACACATTACTATAAATTATCACCATTTAAATCCGGCAAGAAACAAGAAAGTAAGAGTTAAGGGTTATTTATGCAAACAATTAAAAATAATGTGTATTGCATGTATTTTCATTGTATGTTAACTGTGGTATGCTGATTGTCTGTAATATTTTGTGTTGATACAATTTCAAAACACACTGTATATGAACGTATTCATATTTAGTTTCTTGTCAAAACACATACGCACATATTATCATTATTCTACAATGAATAAAAAAATGGCTCAAAGTACTGTAAGTGCAGACAACAAAGTTTAGACCCTTAAAAAAGTCCTCATAAAAGTACTTCATGTGAACTGACTGCTTTAATAAAGTCATCTGAAGACATGATTATATATATAAAGAAGAGATGTAATTAAGCCTTTCAGTCCTGTATAAACACTGATCAATGCACCCGCAGAGCACATCAAATTGTCTTCGCCGTTTCTAGCTTGACAGATTTTTAATTTCTCGCTGAACCGCCCCTTTAATTCGCCCTCCGTTTAATTCCACTGTGTCTAGAATAAACAATTGTGATTGTAAGGTTATTAATTCCATCTAATATGGGGCTTTTGCTCCCTAGGGGTCATGCAGGATGTTTTGGTTTCTTCAGAAGGGGGAAAGAGCAGGACAGGCTGATTAAAGCATTAAAAACACTGGGCCTCCAAGCTTGTGAATGTAATAATCATGGCCCTATTAGGTCATAAGGAAGAGCTCAGATCTTGGGATAATGCCTGCTTGACTGCGAGGAGGTGACATCTTCATACTTTAAACAAAGGCAGAAGGACATCGACTTGGCCACGGTTGCTGCTGGGGAAGTCAGATTCAAATGGAAAAAAACCCTGAGTCTAATTATAAATAATAAACATATTCAGCTACGCAAGGGCAAATCTATTTTTGGCTGACCTTCAGCTGTGTGTTTTGTAACTGTATGTGGGTTTGCTGAACAGCTCACCTGTATCTTTGCCATTAGTAAGTGACGTCAAGAAAGAGTCTCGACCTGATGACGCCTGAGGGAAAACAAAGCATCCAAAATCAGCCTTTTGTGACAAAATAATACAGAGTAATGCATTTTTTATTAATATTACCTAAGTAACAAATAAAATCTAACAATTTTTAAGTAATGAATACATGATGCTTATAAATGAATGAATAATTCAGTCTATTTAATTGATTTAATCAGGTGTTATACAAAAATAATATATTTATATATATTTATATATATATATATATATATATATATATATATATATATATATATCATGTGACACTGAAGACTGGAGCAATGATGCTGAAAATCCAGTTTCGACATCACAGGAATAAATTGCATTTCTTCAGGATAATTATGCCAAAACAAATACAAAAATACAAAGAAATCCAATTTATATTAATATTAAACAGTTTTACAGTAATTAATGCATTATACGTTTAATTAAGGAATAATTCAGTCTTTTTAGTGAATGAATTAAGCGTTATTTAAAGGATTTTTCTATTCAGAGAAGAAATTCCACTACACAAATATGAAGCAAAGACTGTTATTTACTGTCAAATCACATTAGAATGACTTTAAAAAATTGTGTGTCACTGAAAACTGCAGCAATGAAGCTGAAAATCCAGCTTCGATATCATAGAAAGAAATTACATTTCAAAATGAGTTATTTTCATCAGTATTATTATGGCAAAATAAATACCAAAATGACAAAATAATACAGAACAATGCAATAAAATATTAAAATTACCTCATTTAAAAAAAAAAACAGTTTTAAAGTAATTAATACAGTATACGTTTAATAAATGATTAATTCACTCTTTTTAGTTGATTAATTAAGTATTAATTTTTTTTTTATTACAACTTTTGAAGAAATGAGAAAAATTCCAACACTGTTTCCACACAAACATGAAGCACAGACTATTTTAATCTTTTTTAACATTTAGCCAGGGTCAAATTCATCCAACACAATCTCACGGCAATTCGTAACTTTTTGATTTAGTGGCAATTTCGAATGAATTCGTTCAATCTAATTTTTACAATTTAGTACGATTTGCTCATGGTTGGGTTTAGGGGTGGGGTTAGGTGCCACGCCTCCTTTTTAAAATCGTACAATTTCGTACGACTGAACTCGTACGAATTGGTACAAATTAGCCACTAAACTGGCAAAACGTAAAATACCTACGTTTTCTCGTAAGATCAGGCTGAATTCATCACATAAAAAAACAAACAAACATGCAAACTGAAGACTGGAGCAATGATGCTGAAAATCCTGCTTTGACATCGTATAGGAATAAATTACATTTCAAAATAATGTTTTTCATTTTCATTCATTCATTTTCTTGTCAGCTTAGTACGTTTATTAATCAGGGGTCACCACAGCGGAATGAACCGCCAACTTATCCAGCATATGTTTTACGCAGCGGATGTCCTTCCATATTACACACTCATACTCATTTTAGCTTTCCCACTTCCCCTATACCACATGTCTTTGAATTTGTGGGGGAAACTGGAGCACCCGGAGGAAACCCACGCCAACACAGGAGAACATGCAAACTCCACACAGAAATGCCAACAGACCCAGCCGGGGCTCGAACCAGCGACCTTCTAGCTGTGAGGTGTGTTTGACTACTAGTTATAGACTATCCCTTTAATGCTGTCTAAAAGTGATGTAGTGTCAGAGAGTGGCCTCAGCGGTGATGGACTCAGTGAGCAGGTGGACAGAAATAAAACAGGACGACCTCGAATGAAGACAAACAGTACCTCCTGGTGGAACAAACAGCACCTACAGTACATACCTTCAGTCTGGAGCTGTCGTCTGGTCTTTTACTGCTCAGTGTGCTCTCCTGTGAAGCCGCTGTGCTTCTGAAGTGACTCGAGTCCAGGCCATTCTCAAGTTTCTTCCGCTGCTGATCACTTTGTGGAGCCTCTGAGTTTATTCCAGATATTAAAGGGGTTTCTGAGCTCACTTCGTCTCCAGCCGGTCCTGACGGAGAGCTCCGGTCCCGCAGAGTGTCATGGCTGTGCTCTGAAGGAAGTCAAAAACAATTTCATTAACTAAAATAAAAAACTACAAAATTCACAACAGGTGGAAAAACTACAACTAATAATAATATAAATAAAAATGAGCAAATTATTAAATATTATTTATTATTAAAAATAATAATTAGCAAAAATCATTGATTAATTAGCACCCAAATCTATGGCAAAAAAATCTGACCCGCGGCAATTTAGAAAAACACCTGTTAATACACTTTCACAAACATTTATGATTCATTTTCCCTCGGCTTAGTCCCTTCATTCATCAGGGGTCACCACAGCGGAATGAATCGCCAACTTATCCAGCATATGTTTTACACAGCCGATGCCCTTCCAGCTGCAACCCAGTACTGGGAAACACCCATACACTCTCATTGTCACACAAACACTCATACACAACGGCCAGTTTAGCTTATTCAATTCCCCTATAGTGCATGTGTTTGGACTGTGGGGGAAACCGGAGAACCCGGAGGAAACCCATGCAAGGAGAACATGCAGACTTCACATAGAAATGCCAACTGGCACAGCCGGGACTCGAACCAGCAACCTTCTTAGTGCTTCAAATGAATCGTCTTGATAACGAGTCTTTAGACGTTTCGGCATGACGTCGATACGAAACATTAACCCCGCCCAATTGTTGCAAACACGGGAAAATTTAAACCCTTGGCCCCGCCCGCAAACACTGTGGCAAAGAAAAAGAAGAAGACAAGCACTGTAGCAGATCCCGGTTGAATCAAGTCATCAAGATGCTGTGCTCAGCCGGATATTATCGGAAGTGCGAGGGAAAGTTAGTGCTATTTTCTCTACCCAAAGATGAAACTGTGAAGAGTCAGTGGTTGAGGTTTATTTTTGCAAAAATACCTCAGAATTATAGCCCAGCCTTGTGCTGTCGCCCTCATTTTTCTGAGGAGCAATCTACACGCTTACAACGGGGCATTCGTCGGCCGTTTGTTGAAGGGAGGATCAGAAAAGACTATTGATGTATGGGAGTTTGTCAGAGCTCAACAGGAACTTTATCAGTACATGGATCAGTGGATTATGGATCAGTTTCAGTTTCGCCCACCACCTTTCCTAAACCCAACTGATAGTGTTTTCAAAAGCACGAATTGACCCACCCACAACCTTTTGTAAACCCAACCAATAGTGTTTTCAAAAGCACTAATTGACCCACCCCCTGCCTTTTGTAAAAAACCTAACCGATAGTGTTATTTAAAAGCATTAATTGACCCGCCCACCACCTTTCCTAAACCCAACCGATAGTGTTTTCAAAAGCACTAATTGACCCGCCCACCACCTTTCCAAAACCCAACCGATAGTGTTATTTAAAAGCACTAATTGACCCGCCCACCACCTTTCCTAAACCCAACCGATAGTGTTTACAAAAGCACTAATTGACCCGCCCACCACCTTTCCTAAACCCAACCGATAGTGTTTTCAAAAGCACTAATTGACCCGCCCACCACCTTTCCTAAACCCAACCGATAGTGTTATTTAAAAGCACTAATTGACCCGCCCACCACCTTTCCTAAACCCAACCGATAGTGTTTTCAAAAGCACTAATTGACCCGCCCACCACCTTTCCTAAGCCCAACCGATAGTGTTTACAAAAGCACTAATTGACCCGCCCACCACCTTTCCTAAACCCAACCGATAGTGTTATTTAAAAGCACTAATTGACCCGCCCACCACCTTTCCTAAACCCAACCGATAGTGTTTACAAAAGCACGAATTGACCCGCCCACCACCTTTCCTAAGCCCAACCGATAGTGTTTTCTAAAGCACTGTAGCTCCGGCTACATAATTCACGCTCTCCAGAAATGTATACGAGGTACATTTTCACAACGAGCCTTTGTTCTACATGACACCAGCCCATATGATTGCATATTTACATTCAACATCATCTTAACTCTATTTTGGGTCTTTTCTTCCATGTATTTCACATAACCGGAACAATTGTTATTAGTTTGAAAGTCATTTCCACCCCATAAAAATATACTTTATTTAAGGTGTGCTTGTCGCAGTGTAATTATTCATTTAACTATGGAGTAATATTGATTAATTACATGTACGTACTCTATGGTTAGGAATGTGGGTTTGGTTTAGGGTTAGTCACATGTAATTAATTGTAATTACTATAATTAGTACTAGATTACCATTGTAAATACATTTGACTTATGTAACAAGGACATCTTAAAATAAAGAGTCTCAAAAAATATATATAAAAACGGGGCATTCGTCGGCCGTTTGTTGAAGGGAGGATCAGAAAAGACTATTGATGTATGGGAGTTTGTCAGAGCTCAACAGGAACTTTATCAGTACATGGATCAGTGGATTATGGATCAGTTTCTTCCACCATTTCACAAGTGTAAGTAAGTGCGATTAAAATGGTTGCCTCCTTGTTTTCTCTAGCTTGCAAATTATGTATGTAATTGGTTGAAATTACGGGAGGTTTCCAGGATAAATAACAAAACAGGAGGGTGGCTGGAGATGGGTCTGAAATGAGGGAGACTCCCGGGAAAAACAGGAGTGTTGGCAGGTATGCTCACACATACACTATGCACTCTGACTACTTCTATATTGTTGATAAGCTGTGCTGGGCACTTCACTCTCTCGCGATGAACGCTGTCGGCAAATCGCAACAGACTGTCATCAGTCCAATCAGCGCAGATTAGCTTCTCGCTAAGGAGAGTTTCGGGAACAAATGAATCCCTGAACGAATCATATGAGAAAATTAGGTAAAAATAAATGCAGATTATAAGACCATGAAAGTGTTTTATTACCTTGCATGCATATTAGACTGTTGTTGGAGACCCTTAAAACCAAAACATGACCCTATTTATTGTATAAAAGTTTTTTTTTTTTTAAACTAAATATATATAAAAAAATCTAAATATGTGTTCATAACATAGAAACTAAACTAAAACTAATTAAGCCAATAATAAAACAAACCAAAAATCAAATAATTAAGGCAAAAACTCATTTAAGTACACATGAAATCAAAATTAAGTATATTGATTTTGTTAGCTCACATTGCTAGTTTTGTGGCGAACTATTCATCCGTGCACGTCATTAAGTAAAAAATTATAGTTTGTAGGGATGTAACGGTATCAGAATTTCACGGTAATACCTCGGTATGAATGGCACGGTACGGTATTTATTGAATAATTTACAGGAAAAACAAAACTAATGAAAAGACTCGAAAAAAGTGCCAAAAGTGTTTATTTACCTCAGCACTGAACATATCAATGACATACAAATTAGCCATTTATCTGTTAGCTTTGAAACAGGAACTTCAATCTTTCAATTTTAATAACAAAAAACTATTAAACCATATAAAAAAAAATTAAGTTTCAATTTAGTATTGTTGAAAACTCATCACATTCAACATTTAATCACTCACTCACTTAGATAGAGATGGGTTTTTTAAGGAAAATTATCATATAACTATAATCTGGTAAAAGCTGGGATCTCTGGGCATGTCCCCTGCAACAGAAAAAAACCCTCTCATTTGGGACTGAGGATTCTGGGACAGAGAGATATGATTTAGCCAAGGTTGACAGCAGTGGGTAACGTTGTGCATTGTCTTTCCACCACTTGAGAGGACAAGCCATGAGTGAGATAGAGGTCTCTTTGCGGTACAAGTCAATGTCTGCATTAATCTAACAAGTGTGCTGTGCTCTGCAGTCCCCATGACTGTTATTAGTCGTATTCCCTGACTTATATTTCACCACAGTCTGGCAGTGCCTCCATACTGTTTTTTTTCTTTGTCTGTCACCTTTTCTCCTTTTTCGTATCTTTTAGAAAGAAACCGAAATGCTTCCACGCATCCGATTTAAAACCCGCTTTAGGTTCGATCATTTCCAGCTCTTTTTCTTCCCCGCTACTAGCAGCACACTCCATTTCCGCATTAATGGATCTGTAGCGACAACAGACCGCAAAGGATGATGGCCACGCCTGGGCTCATGGAAACTGTAGTTCCCGCTACCTCCCGTTCGCTTCATTTGCCTAAAAATTTTTTCTCAGAAATAGTTTTATTGAGTCATGCGCCTACGGTAATATTAAAAAAAAATGACTATTGCGGTATGACGGTATTTACAATATTATTACATCCCTAATAGTTTGCTCGATTATTCTTCAATTGAAATTTTGAGAAACTGAAAATGCACTTTCTGTTTGCATTTACATTTAGTCATTTAGCAGACGCTTTTATCCAAAATTTACACAACCAAGAGCAACAATGAATAAGTGCTGTAGGCAAGTTTCAGGTCTGTAAAGTCTAAGAAGGGAAGTATTAGTAGTATTAGTATTTTTTTTTTTTTTTTTTGGTACAGTTAGTGTGATATTCAGAGAGGCAATTGCAGATTAGGAAGTGTTTGTTGTCAGTTAAATTCTCCGATTAGGTCTGTCTGTGGTATTGGGCGTGGCTAACACACCTAACCACGCCCCTCCAGCTGTCAGTTTTGACAAGAAACAGAAATGATGAGCAGGAGGAGTCTATTAGGCCGTAATAACTTTCCAAAATCCCTTTTCCCGAGATCTTTCTAAATGAAATGCCTACTTTACTACATAAAATCAGCTCACAGTAAAAAAAACAAGCCATGCCCACGGTTTTCTCATTTAATATTCTGTTTCTATAGTAATTGCGTCACAATATGAAAAATAAAATGGTTGCATCTTCCGGTTCATGTGGACTTTAAAAATGCTAACTGTATTAACCTTGGTCTGAAGCGCTGGAGTTCAGCCTCTTCCTCTGATGGGACCTGTGACTATCGCTGGACTCTCCGGAGTCTGAGCGCTCTCGGTACGAGGGAATGACCTCTGATGAGGACGAGCCATGATCCCGCTCAATCCGCGGAGTTAGAGGACAGGAGACTTTCTCTCTGACCAAAGGATCCAGAACTAAAACCATGTCAGGGCTTGAGCCTACAACAGAAGAAGCACACTGTGAGCACTAGGACAGCACAATAAACCCAATGCATCACATGAATGACTGTAGGATGCCTGAGTGTGCTCCATGCTAGTGAGTGGGCTTGACAAACCACCTGTAGGACACTCTTCCTCTCTTTATGCACCAGGCACTTTGTCACTATGAAGCGCATGTTAGATATAGCATTTATTTTTAAATACACCCCATTATTTAGCACGCGATCGCTTTTGTTTTCAATATCGAACTCACTTAGTGATTACTAAATGCATAAATGCACATCTTTCAGGAAGATGTCCATAATTTCCATTAGCATGTGTGCTGAAGTGCTACAATAATTCCTATGCGTTTTCTACATACATGTAGCTATGAGCTGACAAAATGAGCAGAACTCAGCCGAAGGAATGTCAGATGGTTATTGTAATGAGTGGTGCATGCTGGGTGGAGATAGGACATTTCCTCTCACATTTCCTGAGTATATATTATGCACACTCGGGGCAAAAAGGGGAGCAGGACACAGACATCCAGACAGAGGGAATACATGGTGGGCACAGGAAATGACATTAGCGTCAAACCTTCATCCCAGAGCCTGATATCTGCAAAAGAAATGCACTAGCTCGTTTATTAACAGCTTTTCGTTCTTGAAACCTTTTAGAAACCGTGCAGCTGCTATTAAAACCTTCTAAACCATGAGACTTTTGTATAGTTTAAATAAAGGAAAGACTGAACAGCTGTCAAAAAGGCCATTTGACTGATGATACTTGAGAGACGCACGTTCACGCTTCAGCCGTAATGAGAGAGAGCTACTGCTCTTTCAAGGTAACAGCGTTTCTGAGCAGATCCCTATAATTTGTAGGAAAGCAGTCCTGCCGACATCCTGATACTTTTCACATCTGGTCAGGAAGTTTGGTGCCGTTTCCACCATTCTCAGATCTCTGAAGGAGCAGAGCACAGTCTGGGCTTTTTGGGCTGCTTAGTCTACATGTTGAGCTCTATTCAATCCATCTGTTTTAATCTTTGGAATAACTTTGGAGTATCGCATAATATTTCAGGAATATCACATTAAAAAATGCTTAATGGAAATGACAAGACGAGCAAATATCAAGGTTTAAACATTTAAAAGTTAAACCAAGGTGTTTCGGGATTGGCCAGCCCAGTCACCTGATATAAATATTAGATTTAGATTCAACTTTAATGTCATTACACATGTACAAGTACAAGGCAATGCAGTTTAGGTCTACCCAGCAGTGCAATAGCAGCAAGTGCAGGATGCAGGTATAAGTTATTAAGTGCAGTTATAGAAAATGATGGTGATATTTACAGATGGATGTACTATCAACATTATATACAGGTTGTATTAGCTATGAACAGAGATTAACAATAAATTAATATATGTACAGGTTGCTATTAATAATCAGAAGTGGTTGATGCAGCTGTCAGAAGCTATTATAGAGTAAAATCCCCCCAAAATTTGCTTGCATAAGTGAAATCCCCACGAGCGTCTACTTTGTTCTGGGTGAAAAATAGACAGAGAAAAGTAAAAATAACTTCTTTATGGTGTCGTGTCGATTGCATTTTTAAACCTTTAAAATGCAGATTTAAGACATTTTAAGTCTAATTAAGGAGAGAAAATGTGATCATCTGTCACTTCAACTTGCTAAAGATGTTCAAATAAAGCTCCCTTTCAATGACTAAATGAAGACTAAGTAAATATAAATGACTGTGTTATTGTGAGGTCTTGAGGCTCTGGCCTTGTCAGGCGCTTAATTTGATTACCATCTTCTCTGCTTTGTTTACCGCAAGTGATGTGGTGGGCAATAAAGTCGAGAGATCCAAACCCCAGACACATTCTTCAGCACAAAGAAAGGCACTCAGACAAATGCTAGGCTGTAAAATAGTGTATGTCGAGCCCAGCAAAGTCCCTTAATTGTATCTTTTTGGATAAACAGATTTATTTTAGCTGGTTTAGAAAACATGCATTACAGATTGCACTGCGTTACTTGTTGGAAGATCAGTTTGGCTAAAAATAAAATGTACTCAAACATGAACAACCCAGGCTTATTATGGATATGCACATCGATATACATTTCTTGAGAGCCCCAAATACGTCCCAGGAGCTATGTTTTTTGCTGTTTTTGTTTTCTCTAATCCACCAGAGGCCGCTTTGTATGCTTCTTCAGATCTCATATTTTTTCTCGCAAGTTCCATTCACGCCTGCTGTTCTCGCGCAAATCCACCAGAGGCCGCTGTTGACTGAGTGACTGACCGACCCAATGACTGACCCACCATCCTCCTCCCAAAAACCAACCAATAGCATTTTCAAAAGCACTAATTGACCCACCCCCCGCCTTTCGTAAAATACCCAACCGGTAGTGTTTGCAAAAGCACTAATTGACCCGCCCACCGCCTTTCCTAAACCCAACCGATAGTGTTCTTAAAAGTACTAATTGACCCACCCACCACCTTTTCTAAAGCCAACCAATAGTGTTTTCAAAAGCACTAATTGACCCACCCCCTGCCTTTTGTAAAAAACCCAACCGATAGTGTTTACAAAAGCACGAATTGACCCGCCCACCACCTTTCCTAAACCCAACTGATAGTGTTTTCAAAAGCACTAAGTGACCCACTCACCACCTTTCCTAAACCCAACCAATAGTGTTTTCAAAAGCACTAATTGACCCACCCCCTGCCTTTTGTAAAAAAAACCAACCGATAGTGTTATTTAAAAGCACTAATTGACCCGCCCACCACCTTTCCTAAACCCAACCGATAGTGTTTGCAAAAGCACGAATTGACCCGCCCACCACCTTTCCTAAACCCAACCGATAGTGTTTTCAAAAGCACTAATTGACCCGCCCACCACCTTTCCTAAACCCAACCGATAGTGTTTACAAAAGCACGAATTGACCCGCCCACCACCTTTCCTAAGCCCAACCGATAGTGTTTTCTAAAGCACTGTAGCTCCGGCTACATAATTCACGCTCTCCAGAAATGTATAAGAGGTACATTTTCACAACGAGCCTGTGTTCTACATGACACCAGCCCATATGATTGCATATTTACATTCAACATCATCTTAACTCTATTTTGGGTCTTTTCTTCCATGTATTTCACATAACCGGAACAATTGTTATTATTTTGAAAGTCATTTCCACCCCATAAAAATATACTTTATTAAAGGTGTGCTTGTCGCAGTGTAATTATTCATTTAACTATGGAGTAAAATTGATTAATTACATGTACGTACTCTATGGTTAGGAATGTGGGTTTGGTTTAGGGTTAGTCACATGTAATTAATTGTAATTACTATAATTAGTACTAGATTACCATTGTAAATACATTTGACTTATGTAACAAGGACATCTTAAAATAAAGAGTCTCAAAAAATATATATATATAAAAAACTGTTTTAATCATCAATTGAAAACAATGGCAGTGTCAAAACTAAAATCTATGGCATAATTTTGACAATTTTTCTTGTAATTATAAACTGCTGTGTGAATTTATTATTCAGAATGTTGACGTCATTATTATGACTTTGGGATCCTATTAATAATATTGAAAAAATAGTGGAAATAACAACACTTTTGTGACTATAATTTTGATTGTTATAATTTTAACTCAGCGGGGGGAACAGTGGCTCAGGGGTTAGCACTGTCACCTCACAGTAAGAAGGTCGCTGGTTTGAGTCCCGGCTGGGTCAGTTGGGATTTCTGTGTGGAGTTTGCATGTTCTCTCCCTGTTGGCGTGGGTTTCCTCAGGGTGCTCCGGTTTACCTCACAGTCCATACACATGAGCTATAGGGGAATTGATGAACTAATTTGACAGAAGTGTTTGAGTGTGTGAATGTGAGTGTGCATGGGTGTTTCCCAGTACTGGGTTGTGGCTGAAAGTGCATCTATTGTGTAAAACATATGCTAGAATAGCAGGCGGTTCATTCCGCTGTCGTGACCTCTGAAATGGAGCCTAAGCCGAAGAAAAATGAATGAATGAACGGATTCTGACTCATGCAATAATGACTTTATTTCAATTTTATGTCACTAGTTCAAGACTCGGCTGGGTCAGTTTGCATTTCTGTGTGGAGTTGCATGTTCTCCCCATGTTGGCGTGTGTTTCCTCCGGGTGCATGCGCTATGAGTGAATTGGGTAAGCTAAATTTTCCGTAGTGTATGTGTGTGTATGGAAGTGTTTGGGTGTTTCCCAGTGATGGGTTGAATCAATTGCTTAAAACGTATGCTGGATAAGTTGGCGGTTCATTCTGCTGTGGTGACCCCAGATTAATAAAAGTATTAAGCCGAAAAGAAAATGAATGAATGAATGAACTTCACACGAGCCGATCAAAGAAGTCCAGCGGGCCGCTTGTGGCCTGCGAGTCAGAAAATGCCCAGGTCTGTTGTAGATTGACTTAGGCCCCGTTTACACTAGTGCGTTTTAGTTTTAAAACAGCGTTTTAGATCAAAAACGATCCGCATCTACACTAGCGTTTCTAAACACTAAAAACGTATATCATGTGACCATTCGCGCACTCTGGGCATGCGCGTTCTAGTATAAACAGGAAGCATGTGTCTCGCTCGGCATTTGGGTGATGTTAGTCAACAAACGCCGGTTGAACAATAAACGTGATGTCAAAGAATGCAAGAGAGGTGTTTTCTGTGGACAGACGAGGTCGAGTTGTTCCTAAACGTAACAAATGAATAACTGCACAATGCCGCCTAAAACAGACAATAGTGCAAACAACACTCCCATTTCTGTGTCCATGTTGTTGTTTACAGTGAAGGCTGGTCTGCTGTCTTCCGGTAGTGTTAAAGCCATGTGTTATAGTCATGTGATAGGGGCTTGACGAATAAAGGCTGATTTATACTTCTGCGTCAAACGTACGCTTAGGCTACATCGTTGACGCATAGCTCTTCGCGCTGGCCGTCGGCGTCGCTGACGTGCACCTCCCAAAACATGTAACTACACGTCGCAGCAACGCGTAGCGCAAGCTCTGTGATTGGTCGGCTTGGTAGCGCTGACGAGTCTGGGCGGGACCGTGAGCCGCGTGAATGGTGCGAGCCTGATGGAGTGTGGAGTCCCGTGAAGAAGCTCCGGATGGAAAGTTTTGTTTTGTGTTTACCTCATAGTTAAAGTTGTTGCACGTTCGCCGGTTCCTGCCTCAAAATGAGCGAATTTGAGCCACTTGTACATCCAGGAAGTGTTCAGGAAAAGCAAAACAGCAGCGAAGAAACTCGACACAGAGGAACATTTACACCTCACTGCCAACTAGCCTTTCGGAAGTGTTTATGCAGACCAACAGAGACAGCACGCAGAAGTATAAATGCACAGCTATACGCGTTGCATGCACTGTGGGTTACGCCGGTCACCTGACGCAGAAGTATAAACCAGGCTTAAGGGAAGGATACGCAATGACACAAAAGCCCCAATCAGGTAGCAAATCTCAGCAGCCCCGCCTCCATTTTCTGATGTCTCCGTTTTCCCCATCCACACTAAGACGGAGCAGCAGCGTTTCAGAATGAAAACAGCCTCTCCAGCGTTTTTCAAAACGCTCTATTTCGGCACTTGAAAACTCCGGCGTAGTGTGGACGGATGGCGTAACCGTAGCAAAACTTATGCGTTTTCAAACTAAAACGCACTAGTGTAAACAGGGCCCTACTAAGTCAAAAATTTGACCTTTCATCTCATATTTATACCATATTATTTATTTAACTACTGAGCAATATTAATTAATTACATGCACATACTCTATGGTATGTAAACAATTTAGAAATTGTCTGTATTTTTATCTTAACAGCATGGCAAAAATTTAATTCTAGGTCCGTGTGACCTATTTGTAACATGTTAATCTTAGATTTAGCCTACTTTTCGGCTAAACACCTGACAGCTTAACACCTGCGAAGCACAACAGCTTTACCACCAGACACCATCACCATCAAGGGAAGTCATAAACAAAAAAAGAAAAGAAAAAGTTTGTTTAAATCTCAGATCCGAATGCTTGCAAGCCGAAAAGCACGTCCTTCCCTCCTTCCCCACAACAAGCGTATATAAATGCTCTTCCCTGTCCTGTCCCAGCCCCAAACTTCCTTTGTGTCCGTCTGAATAACAAACAGTGGCTTCCCAAAATGTCTGGTTTTGTGCACTCATTAAGGCCGTCTCTGCTTGGCCGTGCTCTCACCCTGGCCAAAATCACTGGGTTGAGCAGCTGAGTAAGGACCACTAACACCACAAATGTCAGGGTCACAGGAAAGGAGTTTTACTTCAACAAGACTCTGCGTCTAAATATAGGGGGGGTTAGACCTGGGGTGCGGGGGGGATGAAAGTCTTTTTGGCAGACATAAATGAGCTTTACATCTCTGGATATTCCCCCCTCACGTGCACTGTGAAACAAATGCAGTCGATTTGAGTTGGGTCAACATGAAGGAATTAAGTTAATTTTTTTTTTTTTACAAATTTAAGTGGATTGAACATAAAACATAAAAGTTGTCCCAAAAATAACTAAAAAAACTCATTTTTAAATAAGTAGTTTGAACAAAACAGCAAACATCATCAGAGTGCGAGTCTGAATATTTCAGTATGCTTTAGCAGGATGAAACTATTTTAATGGAGAGATTGTCGTGTGCAATTTAACTTGCCTTTTCTGTGGTTCCCGATCCTCACTGATTGGCTGATGAGCGACTCTGTTGGGATGTTATCCTGAAAGACATAAACTCAAATAAATATCATACTAGATAAAGACAAAACGTAACCAAAACACTAATTTCTGTATCAGTTCAGTTCAGTTCAGTTCAATAGAGAAATTTTACTCTCTGAAAGCAAACAGAGCAATAAATCAAGTAAGATAAAACACGGATAGTTGAGTTAAAAGCTATTATTACACGGCTGTCTGAAATATTTGATTCTGATTGGTCAGTCGTGATATTCTAAGATATGTTATTTCCAGATAACAACCGTTGAATAACATTGACTCATCTTGACTGTGTTTGCCGCTGATTTTGACTGTTTGGTGTCATCTTGTGGCTAAATAATTCATAGGTTAATGTATGCTTTATTCAGCAGTTCTCATTTGTAAGCTTTGACTTTAATTAAGGAATTATTACAGCTGTAAAATGTTTACTTTAGTGTATAATTTTAAGTTTTGCGGCAAATAGCTGTGTAACAAGTAGGGCTGTAACGATACACCAAACCCACGATTCGGTTCGTATCACGATTTTTGACCCACGATTCGGTTCGTATCACGATTTTTTTTTTTTTTTTCGTGTGGGGTGGGGAAAAAAAAGATTTTTAAAACTATTTTTTATTAAATAACATTGAAAAAATCTTTATAAACTAAACATCAAAGAACAATATTAACTATGCAAATTATTAACAATATAAATAGCCATATATAAAATAAATAAATAGCCAAAGCTATATCACTTCTGTTTTCTTTGTAACAAAATACTGTTGAAAAACCAAACAGAACTAAACTGCATTGTGTAGATGGTTCAAGCATGTTGAAAATTATTTTTCAATCAAGTTCTTTTACATAGAAAAAGTAAATTAAATAGCTACTAGGGATGCTCCGACAACCGCCGCTCATTAATCGGTTATTAACGGTGAACTGGTCAGATTACAATTAATTTTATATTAAACAAATTGACGTGTGTATTTTGTGTCTGACACATTAAATATTGCATTTTAAAATACTGATTTATTTTTATATATTAATAGCGGAACAGAACAACAGAGCATCTTCACGCACCTGCAGTGTTTAGCACAGAAGAGCAGAATAATCTAAATAAAATGAATAAAATAAATAGGACTGCCCTAAATTATTTTCACTTAAATAATTAATTTATATTACAAAACGAAAATACTGACTGATTCTTTTTAATAACCGGCATAGGCTTTTTTTCCAATCATATGTTTATTTCTTCCGTCAAATAAAAATAGCTGACTTCCTTAAATTGCTCGCTCCACGGAAAATATGCATTTATTTAATGCCCCGCTGTTATTATTATAATCACAAAACCTTTTACATTTTTAATAGAAATCATTATTTTAAAGATTATGTCCTGATATAGCCTATGTATTTCTCTCTCTCCCTCGCGGTTCAAGTGCGCGCTGCTTGATGAAAAGACAACAACAACACGCGCGCATATGTAGACTTTTTGTAAACAGTTTGTTTAAATATGATATTGCATTAATCTGCGTACATGCTTTAAGCTGTAAAATAAAAAGTAAAGCCTATTTGTTGCGTTTATTAAGCAGATCCAGGTCAACATAAGCGCTGGTTAAGCATCAACAGGTCTGTATCAAACAGCAATATTCTTCTTCCATTTTGCTTCTTTGGCAAATGTGTCAGTAGGCACGGGTTATACGTTATGGTCCCGCAAATTAAGTATGCCTTGCAGTTAAACAAGTGGCCGAAAACTAGGCGCACCTCACTGCCTTTATATTGACAAGGAAAAAAGAAGAGGCGCGGTCCTCTTATGAAACGACTGAATCAGCTGGGTATCAATTGCGCAAAAGTGTTGCTGTCTGTGTTGTTACAATTGTAATATTTAATACTATTGTGATATTCAAGATTTGTATATTCATACAGCTCTGGATAACTTAAAACAACGATTAGACCATCAGAGCGGCGTTAATGCGTCCTGAAATAAAGCGAAACGGCTATAAACTCCAGCAAGATTGTGAAGTGATTATATGCAGAGCCATATACCTTTATCTCTAAATAAAGTATAACTATAGAAACTGTGTTCATCTTAACTTAAAGCTTCGTCGTGTTTTCTGACCTCACGCACCTGTCACTCAGCACTCTCAAAGGTTCAAACAGAAATCGCACAGCACGGTTACAGAAAAGTTTGCGCTGTTACCTGACATCTGGTGAACGCCCATCCCTCTCTGCGCAGCCACATTAACTGTGAGCAAATCATCGTATATGCGCTGAAAATCCGGCCGCTTTGACAGCATCAGCAATGTTTCTGGCGTTGTCTGTTGTCAAGCAGGGTTAAGTTATTTTGTTTTTGATATTCCTGACATTCAGACGGTCCCTTACTAAGAGCTCCGTGCGAGCTCTCCCGGCTAAATATTGCGAGGGCTTAAACGGAGCAGTGCTTGTAATGTTTAACGGAAAAAAGTGTTAATTAGCTCAACTTTTGCAGGCACGCGTGACGTTATTGGAAAGGTAGTCACGGGGTGTGTCGCGATTCTCCCTTATCACACCGCAACACAGGATCGTAGATCTGAGTGTCGCGATTTCGATTTTATATCGTGTATCGTTACAGCCCTAGTAACAAGTGTGATGAAGTACATCACGGTGGTTGTTTGTTTGCAGAAATTAAGCCCTTCAACCAAAACACATATTCCTGTATCCGTTTACCAGAAATTATAGCCTAAGAAGTTATACAGACTGAATAACTAAGTAAGATAAAACACGAATAGTTGACTTAAAACCTATTATTACACAGCTATCTGAAATACTTGATTCTGATTGGTCAGTCGTGATATTCTAAGATATGTTATTTCCAGATAACAACCATTGAATAACACTGACTCATCTTGACTGTCTTGCCACTGTTTTTGAATGTTTGGCGCCATCTTGTGGCTAAATAATAAATAGGTTGATGTATGCTCCATTCAGCAGTTTTCATTTTTTAGCTTTGCATTTAATTAAAGAAATAATAAACTATTATGGTTAGGAAAAATGCTTACTTTAGTGTATAATTTTACATTTTGTGGCAAGTAGACATGTAATTACCAGAATAAAGTACATCCAGGCAATTGTTTTCATGGAATACAGCCCTTCAGTCTATTACAAACTCCACTCAGCTGTTTTCATTTCTAATTTAAGAATAATAAACCATAATGGCTTCGAACAGTGTTTTATGTGTACTTATAAAATTGTCTGGCTAGTAGCCTTAATAATAAATGGGACAAAGTACATCCAGGATGTTTGTTTTTGCAGAATAAAGTCCTTCAATCTTATACAACTTTGTGTCAGGCTACTAACAAGCCTGTCAGGCTTTATTCTGCGATAACAACCGTCTGGATGTACTTTATCCCTTACTTGACCACATTTCATGATGCATTGTTGTGAAACCTGCATGCAAGATGACTGAAAATGACAGAAATCTTCTGGCGTAGTGACATTAAAGTGTAACGCAGTCAAAACCTGCCTGGAACTACTTTGTTTCTCTAAAAACAACTGCACACCTTAGAAAGACAATCAGCCAATCAGAATCAAGCATTCATTGTATTACCTTGTGGACGGTCTTAAGATTGTCAGTCTCATTCACGTCCAGTTTCTTAGCCATAAAAGTATCTTATATAAATATTATTTTAATTTCCATGTATTGTCATAAACACATTCATTTGTAGAGCAAGAAGACAAACGTTTACTGCCGTTTGTTATTCCTACTCATTACTCCTATAGGCAAATGAACGGTAAGCCCTAAAACAACTGCAGAAAAGAGCTTACTTTCGCATTGCAGAATAATAAAACAGAAATAAAAACCAAACGTCAGTCTTTGAGTATGTATGAAAGCTGTAAAGGAGGCTGACTACTAAGATGTTTAGAGTGCGCTTAATGCTGTCTTTTTGGCTTAACGGTGCTCGCCTACATGCTGTAAAAGGATTAAGAGTTATATGCTACAATAAACACCAAACCTCAGTTAATCAGCAGCCCAACACAAACAGAAATAATCTGGAATTACACGAGGCGGTCACGTGTTTGCCTGCGTTTAGGCTTCTGAATGTGCAGAACGCCGGTTTGAGAGAACAATTTAAACCCAGCGCATGTAAATAGATGACCATTTCAGCCTCTGAGATTTCACTTGCAAACAACAGCAAGGCATCATTTCCTCTGCGTAAAGCAAACAGATGCTGAAACTTCTCAGCAGCCGTCACATCATAATTCCACACTATAATTATAAGTCGGACGCCAAAGAAACAAGAAAAATGTTCTTTTCTGAAGTTCAGACTGAGTTTGCAGAGCCATTTGACCCAAAAAATAACAGTTCTGTGAACTGGAGCGGCTTCATTGATGCTTTATTTTAGCTCGTTTCTTGTGCAAAGCTATACCATGGCTTTTTAATGCTTTGATTATAGCACACAAGTTGCATTAGACGTATTTTTCATCCCTTTTGAGCTCTGCTCTCCTCAGGGTTCTTACACATTTTCCAACTACAAATTCCAGCACTTTTCAAGCACTTTCAAGGTACATTTGTATGCTTTTCCTGCAACTAATAACCACGGTTAATTATGTTTATATATATATATATATTGTAAGTATTTTTTCACATTTAAATCAATTGTGCTATTTTAAAAAAAATTAAATTTATTGAGCACTTTAGATTTATTGGAGATATTTTGGATTTATTGGGAAAGTTTACCCAAAAATGATTAAAAAATAAATTAAAAATGCTTTTAAGTTTGGTCTCTTTCTACGTTAAGTTGATATCTCAAGAAATGAGCTTACAGTCAGATTTTGTTTGGGTGTCGTACATGATATTTCATGTGCATTGCTATTTTTTCTTTACAGTCATTGGATTGTCGTTTAAGGCTTAAAAGTAGGTCTATAAAAATCTGACTTTAAAAATTTAGTTGTCTTAAATTTCAGATAATCAAGTTAAGAAATACAAATTCAAAACATTTCTAATAGGATATAATCAGTATTATTAACTTACAATTGTTAATAATTCAATTTAACA